CACCCTGAAACATTCCCCCAAAAAATCATTTATTTTTCCCAGCTTAGTAACAACAAAAACATTTACATTTTTTTTCCCTTCAAAGAGGGGGAGAGATGATTTTTAAAGAAAATATACACCCTGGCTGCTGTGGGTGGGAGCTTAGCCCTTTTACACATTGTAAACTGATTGTGTATTTTGTTGCCAGGAGTTCTACCCTGCCTACCCTACAGCCAGCAGACTAAGATGAAGAGGAGAGGGAACATCTCCCTCAAGCTTATCGCGGAGATGTGCGTCAATGCCGGGTTCTCTCACATCATCACTGTAGATCTACACTCAAAGGTTTGTTACTTTCATAATAATTGCCTTTTTTTTCTGGTGGATGGGTTGTTTGAAAATGTATTAGATTTTAAATTGAACTGAATTACAACAATACAAATTGTTTAACAGTTTAATTTGAAAATGTAATTTTAAATTTTTTTTCCAGGAGTCTCAGGGGTTCTTCTCCTGTCGTATGGATAATCTCAGAGCATCACCCTTTTTCCTTCAATATATAGTGGATAGTATACCTGACTATCATAATGCGGTTATTGTTGCTAAGGTGAGAACTCCTCTCCAATCGTTCCACCTTCAGAACCCGCCCTCTTCTCTTATCCCATCCTTCATTATTTTCAAGTTAGATTCCATCAAGAGAAAGTTTTACGCAAAAATTTCACGCTCTGACAACTTTAGAGAGAATGTTGAAAAGTGGATCTGGAAGTTCACTTTGGATTCTCTTTTAGATTTACATATAATCTGATATGTATTTATATATATATATATATATATATATAATATATGCTGTGCAGCAGTGCTTAGGACTCGGATCCGTTAGTTGGATCCGGATTTTGGCTTCCTGGATCCGGATTATAGAAATTCCCTTATTTCTGAATGGTTCATCAAGTTTAGCATAAAAATGAGCGAAAAAAGTTAAACAAAAAATTTGAAAATTCTGCTTTGTTAAAGAAATGACCTGGATTCGGATCCGCTTGAAATTTAAATGGATCATTTCTAAGCACTAATCAATGATTTGATGAGAAAATACAAAAAAGATGTTTCACGTTTAGAGTTTTGAAAATTTAGAATCCTGAGTTAAGAACTAAAGAATGTTTTAAGTTAAAGTTTAAAAGCACAGTAAAATTATGAATTCAGGGTTAAATTAAATCTAATCACAGACTAAAATATTACATCTTAAAATTATAAAAAACGCAAGCGTCGCAGCAGTTTCCAGAGAATCTTGATTGATTGAAAATTGATTGAGAAACCGCAGAGATTTCCCGGGTTTAATTATTTAACTCGTCGATTTCGATGACTTACATATTTAAGCTATAACGGTTTAATATAAATCACGGTCGGCATCTAAGCTCAAACTTAAACTTTTCGTTCTTCAGTTCTAGACTTGATTTTTGAAAAGTATTAAATAATATAAAATCGTAATAAAATGTTAAAAACTTGTAGAGCCCCATATCTGCCCGGCGTGCTACCTCTCTAGCTGATCGCCTACGCCTGGGAATAGCAGTGCTTCACGGAGAATGCAAGGAAGGCGCAATTTTTATATTATTTTCATCCTATCTTTTTATTTGATTGATCAAGTGAAATATCGGTTAAATAAATAATTTTATGTAATATAACAAATCAAGTTAAAAGAAAAATCTCAATCAAATTAAAACTGGTTGCATCAAATTTTGTCAACATTTAAAAAAGTTTGTTTAAAAACTGCGTATTTTGTGATGATCAGGATGAGGAGAGAGATGCTGATGATGGAAGAGCTTCTCCTCCACCTAATGATGAACAGGTTTATAAATATCAATAGACGCTGTAGAAAATCACCACCCCCCTTATTTCTAATACTCCCTCCTATTATTAACCCCCTCTCTATTAAGCCCTCCTTCTTCAATCCCCCCTATTATAAAACTCCCCTGCACTGCCCAAAATAATAAATCCTATTATTAAATCAACCTTTCTCTAATCACAATTATTAAACCTCACTGTCTCTAATCCGTTCTATTACTAAACCCCGGTCCCTGTCTCTTATCACTCCTGTTATTAGACCCCGCTGTATAATCCTCCTTTAATCAAACCACCCTGTTTAATCCCTCCTATTATCAAACCACCCTGTTTAATCCCTCCTATTATTAAACCACCCTGTTTAATCCGTCCTATTATCAAACCACCCTGTCTAATCTCTCCTATTATCAAACCACCCTGTCTAATCTCTCCTATTATCACCCTGTCTAATCCGTCCTATTATTAAACCAACCTGTCTAATCCCTCCTATTATCAAACCACCCTGTCTAATCTCTCCTATTATCAAACCACCCTGTCTAATCCGTCCTATTATTAAACCAACCTGTCTAATCCCTCCTATTATCAAACCACCCTGTCTAATCCGTCCTATTATTAAACCAACCTGTCTAATCCCTCCTATTATCAAACCACCCTGTCTAATCCCTCCTATTATTAATCCACCCTGTCTAATATCTCCTATTATTAAACCACCCTGTCTAATCCCTCCTATTATTAAACCACCCTGTCTAATCCCTCCTATTATTAAACCACCCTGTCTAATCCCTCCTATTATTAAACCACCCTGTCTAATCTCTCCAATTATCAAACCACCCTGTCTAATCTCTCCAATTATCAAACCACCCTGTCTAATCCGTCCTATTATTAAACCAACCTGTCTAATCCCTCCTATTATTAAACCACCCTGTCTAATCCCTCATATTATTAAACCACCCTGTCTAATCCCTCCTATTATTAAACCACCCTGTCTAATCCGTCCTATTATTAAACCACCCTGTTTAATCTGTCCTATTATTAAACCACCCTGTCTAATCCTCCTATTAATAAAACACCCTGTCTAATCTCTCCAATTATCAAACCACCCTGTCTAATCCGTCCTATAAACCAACCTGTCTAATCCCTCCTATTATCAAACCACCCTGTCTAATCTGTCCTATTATTAAACCACCCTGTCTAATCCTCCTATTAATAAAACACCCTGTCTAATCTCTCCAATTATCAAACCACCCTGTCTAATCCGTCCTATTTTTAAACCAACCTGTCTAATCCCTCCTATTATCAAACCACCCTGTTAAATCCGTCCTATTTTCAAACGACCATGTCTAATCCCTCCTATTATTAAACCACCCTGGTTAGCCCCTTCTATTATCAAACCATCAAGTCTTATCTCTATTATCAAACATACTGTGTAATCCCTTCTATTTTCAAACCACTCTGTCTAATCTCTCCTATTATCAAACCACCCTGTCTAATCTCTCCTATTATCAAACCACCCTTCTAATCACTCCTTTTATCAAACCACCCGGTCTAATCTCCTATTATTAAACCACCCTGTCTAACCCCGTCTATTATCAAACACCCTCTGTAATTCCTTCTATTTTCAAGCCACTCTGTCTAATCTCTCCTATAATCAAACCACCCTGTCTAATCACTCCTATTATCAACCCACCCGGTCTAATCTGCTATTATTAATTCACCCTGTCTAATTCTTCCTAATGTATTTCAGAGTGTCCAGGGCCGAATTTACACCATTGGTAATCCTCTTCCACCTTTAACACCCAAGGTAAAACATTTCTTGTTACATTTATTTTATAATCTTATTTTTGTCTGTGCTTCTTTTTATAAGATTATATGGTTTGTGCTTATTCGGTAACATTTTGAGTGATGGTTGCTAAATGTGGAATTCTAAATAAAGTTTTCAGATTTTTGATTTTTTGCCTTTTGAAGCTTTGGTTTATTGAAATAGACAAATTAACGTGTGTGGGGGGGGGGTATAGCTAAGGGGAAAGTACCCATGTTTCAAGAATAATATGTTTACTAAAACAACTGAATATTTAGGAGAAGCCTCCGATCTATGTTGTTGGAGATGTGTGCGGGAAGATCGCTATTCTAGTTGATGATATTCTAGACGATGTTAACGTTATGTGTAATGCAGCCAGGGTAATACTGTTTGTGATGCTAGTTAAAAATTAATATATTTATTTTCGTCTAATGGTCTTATTCAAAGATGTTAACAATAATTTAAAGGTAAGGGATCTCAAATTGAATCGTTTACTTGGCTCTTCTAAGGTCTTTTAAGGAAAATATACACCCCTGTTGGTCATCCAGATTTTCTCTGGGCTCGATAATGATGTTTAAAAAAGAAATATACCTAATATTTTAATTTTCAGGTATTGAAGGAGAACGGAGCAACCAAGGTTTACGTGATGGCGACCCATGGAGTACTTTCCAATGAGGCTCCTCGTCTTCTAGAGGTTTGTTTGTATTTTACATACTTTAATATATACTTTGTACATCTTTACTAACTGTACAGTGAACACTGTACAGTGTACACTTTATATACCTTTTTATTAATCTTCTTGACATTGACATTGTCATTTTTAAAATGTTTAGGAGTCTGATATTGATATTATTATTGTCTAGGAGTCTGATATTGATATTATTATTGTCTAGGAGTCTAATATTGTAATTATTGTCTAGGAGTCTAGTATTTATATTATTGTCTAGGAGTCTGATATTGATATTGAGTCTAATNCTGATATTGATGAGGTTGTAGTGACCAACACTGTTCCTCTGGAGAATCAGAAGATGATCACCAACAAGATTAGAACTGTTGATATCTCAATACTTCTGGCAGAAGCAATTAGGTAAATCTTCTAAAGAATAGTGTAGCACTTGTTTGCATTCGCGATTTTTATTTTATAATCTTTTACTTTAAAAAATTCAAAATAGGAGACATTCTTTGCTGATTCTTATATTATGTGTTAGGCACTTTCATACTTTCCCCAAGGGCGAATTTCCGAGAGACAATTTCTAAAGTGGCAACTTCCCCAATGTGTAATTTCCCAATGGGCAACTTCCCAAATGTACATTTAAGGCTAGGTTAGGCAGGCGCCGCAGGCTGCAATTTTGGGCGAGCGCTGCAGCTAGGATGCAAAGTGAATAAATACTTGAGTGGACCAAACTCATAGTTGGATAACGACATTTTATTTCCCAAGTATTTTAGATAAATATTGCGGGGCCCTTTAATCTGTTTGTACTGTGCGTACACTGTACAGTGAACAGTGCCAAATACATATTAGTGCAATATGCCTCTTATGCATTATTGTGCCATTTTTAAATTCTAGGATAGACCAAGAATACCAATACCTTAGATCCACAGGTATTCATACTATTAACATTAAGATGGGCATACATCTTTCACCACCCCACCTCCCTTATACACTAGAGTCTTGTTTAATCTGATTTATTTTAGCAATACAAGAACAAGAGCTCTAAGCCGTGAAAAAAGTTGATAAGGCCGGAGGTTAATAGCTTTTTAGATCATAGCCAGCTTATCTTGTACACAACTATTGTTATCCCGGCAGAGACTGGTGAATAGTGGGTAAATCTGAGATCATCTCGGAGATTAGCTAAGGTGGTCTTGCACTCAGGATTGATAGGGGAGATATCTAAACGAGATTAAATTAGTTTATTCATTCTCTTGAGAGATTAGTTTCTATTTTGATCTTCACCTTTTGTAGTTCATCTTAATCTTCAAGCTGTTAAGTTAAGGGGAAGCAAAGAACTGCTTCACCAGAGAACACGCAGCCATGGCGGAGAGATTGCCGCTACGGCGGAGAGTCTGCAGCTACGGCAAAGGCTATGTAGGTAGGAGAAGATTAGCGGAGCATCTCGTCAGAGAAAGCTAGGTCCTTCTATCCTGGGGAAGATAACCGGGGTACAGAGGAGGTTTGATCAGAAAGGTTATCTAAAGATAAACCAAGAATTACTTCCAAGTCAGATTAACTGGAAGATCTCAATTAATCACCTGTTTATTTTTATAGTTTAGAGTTCAGGTATAACAGGTCACTTTTATAAACATCGATAGATTTCTTAATTTAAAATAGAGTTATTGTGTGTTGAAAACCACAAGACAATTATTTAGATGTTTAATAAACCTGGAGCTAACAGGATATTTGTTTTAATAAATAAAATCTATCCCATTATTTTCTGAAACATAAAGGCCATTAAATATTTTAGGCTAAACTGTTCATATAAAATCTAAGACTTGACAGTTTATATAAATTCTTGTTCTCAGTAAAAAGTGTCCCATATATAGTTTTCTTAGGTTTTCTCAGATTCAAGATAAAATGTTTGCAGATTAGATTATCAGGGAAACGAGTAACATCTTCATTAACACTCGCAGAGTCTTATAGCTCTTCATCTCGTGAATCAACCTAAACAATAGTCATATGAAAATTACAACTATGCATAATTGTAAATGGAAAACACCTTTGATTTTATATTATGTAGTACATTTTTTTTTAGGCGAATCCACAACAAGGAGTCGATGTCTCATCTGTTCAGAAATGTAACTGGAGAAGATTAATCAAGCCCCAGTCGGAGAAATATTAATACCGGTCAAAGTGATTGTTTAAATTTTAATCCCAGGTCTGTCCTAATTATAATCCCGGGTATTGATCTTGTCCTAATTTAATTTACGGTCACAAAAGTTTCTCAATTAAATTCCCGGTCATAAACTTGTCCTAATCCCGGCCAATTTGATGGTTTATGTAATAATATTTGTCTTATCCAACCTTTTTTCGGTTGTTATCAGGTTTAACTAAATACCACCGAACCTGTTTCGTATTTGACCTATTTCTTCCGAGTTACACTAAATAAATTTTCAGCGGATTACAGTTACAACTGTGACCTAGTCCTACTCAATCCGTTCCAGAAGACACAGGGTTCGTTTCAAACAATATACCGTAATACCAGTGTTGAAATTTAAAAAAATATTTTTGCAGAAAAATAGTCTCTGATAATTTATTTTTTATTTTACAGAAGCATTTTAGATTGCAGAGATGTAAGGTTACAAGTCTTTTCCCTATAAATCTTCGTTGAAAACTCATAATTTTCTGACTTCAAGTCCATATTATCCCTCCCCTTCTCATTTTCTTCATATTCCTCATCCTAATCTACCACATTTTCAGCCTTCACCTCGATACTTCAATTAACTACGCTATTCCTTGTATCCTTGTATCCTTCTATATTTTCATCATTGTATCTTGGATTTCTAGTATCCCTTGTATCCTTGTATCCTGGTAATTTAGTATCCCTTGTATCCTTTTATCCTTTTATCCTTGTATCCTTGTATCCTTGTATCCTTGTATCCTTATATCCTTGTAGCCCGGTATTCTATAAGTATCCTTGTATTCTAGTATCCCTTCGTGTAAATAGCCGTGAGCTATCTAGTGATACAAATTGATCTGTCGAAGTAGTAATATTTAGCATTTATAGATTATAGATCTCTCGCTGGAAAATTAAAATCAAAGGTTTCAGCACGTAAAATGATAAAGTTATTTCTTTATGTTAGTCTCAAAGTTTATTCTGTCTGCGTAATTAATATTTATAAATGTGTAAATGTGTAAATGTAATTTTAGGCATTGGAAAATATTATAAATGTATGTGGAACTATAATAGATTTAAAACGGAAGCCATCTTATAATTTGTAAAACTGTAAACATTATATGGCTAAATTTCTGTATTGATAATATAGGAAGTTACATTATTTTACTGGATTTGTTTTTTTATTGATCTTTATTTATTCAAAAAAAATCTTTTCATTATCAGTTCCCCATGTCCCCCAATCCCCATCTATATACATTTTTACTTTTATAAGTCCTTCACCTGTCCTTTTTTACCAAGCCACATGCTTAAATTTTTTTTCTTCAAATTTTTAATGAAAGCTACAAAACATTTCGTTATTGCTTTTCTACTCCCTCCCTTCAGTTCCACAATAACATTCTTAGTTTATGTTTCTAAATATTTTCAGACAAAATGGCTCGGTTTAACTTTCAAGAATCAGAAGACAGGAATTGTTAAATATGTATAAAAGAAACATAATTAATTGTAAAGTGAAGAAAAGTGAAAGGGTAGATAGGTTTAGATTTTTATAGACAAAGGATGAAGACAATTACGGGGCGTAGATTCCTACTTGCAAACTTAGAAATGAATAATGGATTTTTCTCTTAAGATCTGTATTTTAAAGAGAAGTAAATAAATTCTGTCAACTAGTACTTTACAAGTTTTAGGATTTTAATCTTCAGTAGTAAACTGAAATAACCACTTTTATTTCTTAACGTTATTACCAATGAATTGCTATTAGACATTCGAATTTTTTTTTCAAACTAAATCATTTTAGCTGTAGAATGGTATATTTAACAAATTTCAAACTCAAATATATTTTATTTTTTATATTCTAGTAACTGAATCCGTTAAATTCTGACGCAAATTCATCAAACTCTGAACAAGATTTTTGGCTGATTTTTGCCATCAGGTTTATGAATGATAAAAATTTTAAAAAATGTGTTTTAAAGGTTTTTAATTTTGTAAAAAAAATAAATTCTTGAAAATCCGCGTATTTTTTTTTAAATCCGCAAAATTATTTTCTTCTTTGTTTTAAAATGTTAACAAAAAGAACATGTTTACAATATAAATAGAAGATTGGCGCGAAGCGCCCTTAAAGCCTAGTATTTTTTATTTATGTATTAGTTTGTTAAAGTTTAGTAGATGGGGCAGGTTTTCATAAAAATTTATGCAATAAGTTACCAGCTTACAGATTTGATATTTAACAACGAAATTCAGGTGGGACTGCGCGGTAGAAAAAGGTAAATTGAATTGTATGTCAAATTTTAAAATACCAATAGTTTTAAATTTTATGTTTGATGATGCGACGGGGTTATTTACTTGAGAAGAAGCTGAAATTGAGTTATGTTTAGAGGAAAATATATAACATGACAGGACATGTAGATTGTAAATGAAATTTTGTTGGAGAAAAGTATCATGAATAAAATCCTTACCAAGTACATTTCTTTATTAAACTAAATATTAACATATGAACACCATTTTTTAAAAATTATGTGCCTTTTCTGTTCGTTTTATTGAATTTCCAATGTTTTTAATGATAATGTTTATTTCTAACTTTTTCCCTTTGCATACTCTTGCTAGATCTTCTTGACAAGGAAAATTTGTAGATTTTCTTGAGTTGAGTTTGGATCAGGATCTTGGGTCTGAGTTCCAGTTTCTACCAGACGAAGATGCGCTCAAGAGTATTGTGGAGAACAGAGGGATAAACCAACATCAGGTTCGTTAATTCACAGGGGTGTATATTAGTTTTGAGACTCTTTTTTCCCCCCCCCCCCTCTTTCTTACAATCAGATTTTTCCCCAAGGCAAGGACTTAACAACAGGTGTTAATTACAGGGTTACGCAGCCCGTGTAAACTTCAAAGAAGTTTGCTGGGGGAGGGGGGTGAGCAGAGTCCCCCTTGCCGAGAACATTCTTGGATTTTAGTTGAATAATGGTGAGTTTTGGGGAAAAAATATCATATTTTTTTCATCTAAAAGGTTCTACTCAGCTTTCTGTGTTAGCCAAAACCAGAAAATAAAAATCAAAATTCCTCTCGTACATACTTTTTTTCCCTTCTCTCTTACACTTTTTCCCTTTTCCCCTTTTCCCTTCTCTTTCCCCTTTCACTTTCCCTTTTACTTTTAACCATTTTCTTTCCCCTTTTTTCATTTCATTCAATATATTTTTGAGGGATTTTACTAATCTTTGAATAAACTTTAGATTAATTTTATCTTCATTCTGTATAATATTAAAAGATATATAGATTCTTGATTTTATATTGTATTGTCGTCTTCATGATTCTGTTTTTTATTTATAATTTATTTTTATGTCATGGACTTTTTGTATTGTAGCTACAATTAATCTAGATTCATACATATCTATCTTGTTAATTGATTAAGTTTATAATTGTTTATTTATACGTGTTTGAATTTTATTATCTACAGAATTGTTAATTGATTGAAAAATTTGTCTTGAGTTGAATGAATTATCAAGATATATATCTAGAAATATGAGAAGATGGCTGAATACACCCAGAGCAGAACAGTACACACACCAAGTACAGGAGGGAAGGAACAGTACCAGTTCTTCCAGGGGAAAGACGGACATGTCTTCTTCAGGGAATAATTGATTGATTGATTGATAAACTTTTATTTCTTACCAATAAGAACAGATAAGCCTTTAATTCTGGGTTCTAAAGGTAATCTTCTAAAACTAACTTTTAGATATATTATTTATAATTCAACGAATGGTTTTACTTAACATTGCCAGCAAAAATATATTGGATCCAACATTAACAATCTTCTGATATTGATTTATTAATGTGAAAATATATTGGATCCAACATTAACAATCTTCTGATATTGATATATTAATGTGAAAATATATTGGATCCAACATTAACAATCTTCCGATATTGATTTATTAATGTGAAAATAACAAGCAAAAATCCTAGTGTTATTTAAGTTAACCTGCAACCATACTATTCTTGATTTTTATCCCCCAAATTATTTTACTGATCATTTTTCAGGGGGGTCATAATTTTATATTCTATTCCAACTTGCAAACATTCTTTATTTATAAATAAATAATAAGATTCAGCTATAAAAACCGCAAATATTTTGTTATATCGACGAAAAAAAATTATTTTTGAATATTGGAGAGATATCCTACCCCTGTAATGTATTTATATCTTTGAAAAATCAGTATTCTTTAACACAGGAGAAAAGTTTCTACGCCGGCCGGGAGAAAAAAAAAGGTAAAAAACAAAACTTATTATTTGTTAGCAGATTAAATTTTAATATTTTATTTGTATTTTTTATTGTTTGTCTTTTTAGTTTGACCCAGAGAGATTTAAACCAGTGAGGTTCAAGACAGGAAGCTTCGGGAAGAAGGATACATTCAAAAAACCTCACAGTAAGCTCATTCAAAGAAACAACTCCCCTTTCTTCAAATTATTTATAGATATTCAAATTGTATACACTGAATTATAATTAATGAATTATCGAATATAATGACGCCCCTAACATATTTTATTTCTAGGTTTCAACAAAGAGAATATCAAACCAAAAACGGTAATTATTCAGTCATGGTAGTTGTTAAATTTGATTGATTTTAAGTACAATTAATTTCAATATATCGTTATTATTTTAACTTGAGAGCTTATCATTAACCAGATTTTTATTTTTCAGAAGAATCTGAAATGTGCTAAAAAATCAAATTAATCATGCTTTATCTAGTTACCAATTTCTCATTTCAGAAGTTTACTTTCTGCATTTTATTCCTATTCTCTCTTCTCAATTTCATTATGGAATATAAGGAGTCCAGCCTATTCTAGTCCAAATGTACCTCTCATTTGATCTCACATTATTTCTCATAATAAGGTTTATGAGTGATTAGTATGCAGTTGAATATTGACATTATTAATACTAAACTTAATTTGCTTTATTTTTAAAATTATTATTTTTATTATCATTGTAATTATTGTTATTTAAATGATAACTAGCTCTGTCTTCCGGTGTTGCCCAAGTAAAGTCATAATTCTCGCCCTGTATACCTGCGCTTGGTGTTAGATCATGATTTACATATGAGGTGCCCGGCGTTGCCAGTGGAATTTCAGAAATGTCAGAAGCTGTTGTGTTGAGCGAAGAGCTTTATTATAGTTATTGATTTNCATTCTCAGAAGAAAGAAAATAGGGAGAAGAGAAAGAAAGTAAGGACATAAGAAAAGGAAAGTAAGCAAAAGGAGGAGAAAAGTGGATGAAATCATTAACTTGTACTTCCATTAATTTTTTTTTCAGTGGAGTCAGAGCGTTGAGAAGAAGAGAGCATTGGATCAAGGTTCACACTTCCATCTTCAAAGTATCTCTGAGATAAAACCTAAATCTATGCTTCCTGTAGCTCAGGAATGTTTTTTTCTCTCACTTTTTCTTCTTTTTTATTTCATTTCTAAAATTGTATTATATATATGATATTAATTGCTCACAATGACTTAACAGAATTACCTCACAAAAAAAGAACATATTTTCAAGGATTCCACTGCAGCTCGAAAAAGTCTTTACTTTGGAAAGGTAAGTCTTAAATGCTTTTCTTTCTTAAATTTTTTTCGATTATTTGACTTTCAGATAAGTCATGGGGATATCCACTATTGCAAGATCGAAACTGTTTCCTAAACTATTTTATTTACCAAGAAATATAATATGTAATGATTTTTAATAAACGTTATTTTTAGGGTTCTAAAGCTGGGTTTAAGAAACCTCTAACTCCAGGTACTAGTGGTGTTTTCACGAAATTCTAAGGGTTACAATCTATGCATTTTGCAAAGTGAGAAACTGAATGAGGGGGGGGGGAAGCAGATACGAGTCCTAGAAATATGAAGTTGTACCATTGCGATGTTTAGAGAAGGATGGTTCAGCTTTGCCTCTGTATCCCTTGACCCAGCTAAACAGAGATTCTGCTCGGTTTCTACCCAGGGAAAGCTTAGCCTGGCTCAACCAGCTACCCAGGTTAGTAAGGATAGACGGTGAACTTATAATCCTAGAAGAGCTCAACGACCTGCCTTGTGTGAACCCAAGAAAAGGCTTAAAACCAGGGAAGGGGGGTTGGGAGGGGTTATGATTTTTAAAGCTTCAGAAAAGTCTATTTTGCTATCATGACTGTTTGTTTCCAAGTGCAAATCTTAAATTAAAAAAAATTGTTAAAATTTTACTACAGGGTGTCCCAATAAACATGAGAATTCAATGACAACTTTTATATCGTCTTCGATCCATGCGGCATTTTTTCATGAACACAATTATTTCAGTATTCCAGTCTAAACATCTAATATCGTAAACGCCAGGTATTGATATTTTCAAAATGTGGTCTACCATTTTTGTATCTTCAAAATTGATGAAGATATTGCCAAAAGTGTACAAATTTCAATTTATCTAAAAAAAATATAAATTGTCTTAATATCTAATATCTACGTCAGTTTTTAAGATACAAGAAAGGTAGACCTCTTTATGAAAAGCTCGTCAGACGTACAACCTCATTTTTTTTACTTTTTTTCAATGCATTAAATATCATAAATCAAAGACGAATTTTAATTCGTCTCTCAATTCCCATGGTTATTGGGACACCCTGTACTTACTTTACTTCCCTGGCTGTAGGTAGGGGGCCGGGGGATCCATTTTTGGTCCTTTTCAGATGTGATTTTTACGTTTCCCTTAGGCTTGTGTCGGAATGTTCCGTCTTTATTTTTAATTTTCTTTCTTTATTTTATTTATTCATTGACGGGTTGTCTTATTTAGTGATAATATTGAAAATATTTCTTTTTGTTTATTTAATTAAATTTTTTGTTTGTTTAAGGGATTCTGCGACCTTCCTGGAGTTGGAGAAGATGATGGGAGAAAAGGATCAGTTTCTTGTGAACGAGGAACAATAACATTTTAAGACTTTTAAAGTTTTTGCTAATTGACAAAATAATCAATTGTCAACGGAAATGTTTTCTGTATATCTCGTGTACGTAGCTTCATGTTCACCTCTATATTAAGCTTAGTAAGGGTCCTAAATAATGGACCAAAATGATGAGTTTTAAGATTTTATGCAATACAAATATTTGGGGACTAATTGGGATCGGGTCTGTACTATTTATTAAAGTTGCGGCGCATATTGAAAATTGTAGAAACACTTGAAAGAAAAAAAAAACAAATCTGTTTACTGAACATATTGTTTGCTTGTCCTTAGAAATATTTTCAAGCTGAATGTCTGATTGTTGAAAGCTTGAATTTGTAATTTATTCTTGTTGAACTGTTCATTTAAGACAAAAGAGTCTCATTCAAAACACGTTTACTTAATTAATAATTTTTTATAATGGTTTCATTTAAAATTGCAACTGTTAGGATGATACTTTTTCCTTTGAGGCTCTTGAATGCAGGGTACGCACCCCAATGCGTCCACCCGTCAGGATTACATGCACCGCGCGCTTTTCTGAGGTGAGACCTATTTTTGAAATATATTTTTTGTCGGAGAGGGACTGTTGGTAATTTAAATTCACCCAATATTTACATTTCCGATTCACATCCACCACAATATCTGCGGCATAAATCTGCAAGTAATATCAGTTATGAAACAGCAACTGAAAAATATCAAATTATTGAAAGGTTAGATTATATCTGTCTTTTAAATTGGAGAATGATAACTCGACGACAGACCCTGAAAGTAAGCATAAAATTTCTGCATTACACATTTCATAAACATTTAATATTTAAATTTGTTTGCATACACTGTTTTTGTTCGGCAAATTGATGTGTACTAGACAAACTGAAAGTTTTACAGTATATACATAAATAAATAAATAAATAAATAAATAAATAAATAAATAAATAAATAAATAAATAAATAAATAAATAAATAAATAAATAAATAAAACAGTCATTCTTCAACCCTAGGAAAGTGAAGAACTAAAAAAATATTTTTTTTTCCGGAGTTAAATCATAAATGTCTAAGTGGTTGAAGTTTTCAAAATATTTTTTATATAGTATTTTCTTGAGAAGGACCTAGCGAATGATACCAAGGGCGTATTAGAAGCAGTAGAACGTGTGTGTGCCAATGAGGACAAAGAAGAGAAGAAAGTGGAGACTAAACAGGGCACAGACATAAGTACAAAACAAAGTAAGACACTTTAGGATTAGAAGATTGAAAAAGGATGGGTTTAAAACTATAATTTGACGGTGTTTTTTGGGTCGATTGACAATTTTAGTCTCTTTTAAAAATAAGGAGCAAAAATATTATTTTTTGGTTTTATTCGCTGAACTGGGGAACAATTTTTGGGTAAAAAGTATTTAAGAGGATTAAAAACTTTTCATCACAATTTTTAAATTTTTCATTTACACCCCTGCCTCTTTATTAGAGTGCCATGTCCAATAAACTATGGTACCCTTAATAATAATTAAAAATATAGGTAATGCTGAGCTAGAACTTGAGCTGGAGAACCTACCCTTGAACCCTATACTTGGAACCTCAACCCTGAGAAGCATGAGCATGTCGAACCTGGATCCGGAGACAGAGAACTTTGAAGTTGCGCGGGCACAGAGTGTGGAAGATCTTAGGTCGGTATTATCTTCATTCGCATTTAAATATCAATAAATTAATCATTTGCATAAATCAAGTTGATGGGTAAAATGTTTACCCTGCACATTATTATACTTACTTCATACTTCAAGTTGACTTCTAGAAATCCAAGAAGGATTATAGTAGAAGCTACAGTGTGGTCATTTGTAGCATCTTTGTAATCCTAAAATGATTTTACAGTCCTGCTCCTTTCAGTTCAGTTGGCAATCTATTCCAGGGTTCAACAACCCTGTTTGAGAAAAGTTGCTCCTTACATCAGTCCTTGTTGATCTCCTAACTAGGTTCAAATGATGAGCAGATTGTCTTGTTTGTCTTGAAGGCTCATTACCAACAGTTTAAAACCATATACTGCTATCCACACAATCAAACCCCTTAAGAATCTTAAATGTTTGAATCAGACCATATCTTCTCCGCCTGATCTCAAGGGTTTGCAGACTTAGCTCCATATGTTCTTTATCACCTTGAGTCCAAGATGTCCAAACAGGAATAACAACTTCTACATGTGGTTTAATTTATTGTTTGTAGAGTCTCACAAAAATATTATCAATCAACTTACAGACAAATTACCATGATTTCTGTAGGCTGAAATACAATGAAAGATAGGGTTGAGCTCCGCCACTTACCCTGATCTAGTGAATCACTGTTATACTGTTATAGGGAAGGAGTTATAACTTCTCGAATAGTTTCAACGAAGGAAATCAGCAAGGTGTTGGAAGACCTAGAGAGGTTCAGGTACGGTCTCAGTTAGTTGAAGTACAACTTTACAATCCACTTTAAATGAAAATAATAAATATTAAATATGCATGATTTAAAAAAACAAACAAAAAAATTCCAACCTAATAAAAAAATCTAAATCCAGAAAAGTTTTTACATGTAAAAAATGAAATTTTTCGGGTTAAGCAAATCTTTTAATGCATGCCAATGGTTTTGTCCTTTGCATTACAGAAACATGATTACCGTTCTACAAATGTGGGGAGGGGAGGTTGTATGCATGGTTCTGAAATAAAACAACAAATAATGATTTTTTGCTTATTTATAGAATTGAACAAGATGAATTGCAGCGGCAGCAAGAGGAACTTTTTCTAAAAATAAGGAATTCATATTTTAGAATTTTTATTCTCTATTGTTTTCAATCAAATGTTTTCTTTCAAAATTCTCTTGTGATGTTTACTTTTCTTTATTTATTATTATCTCAATTCGTTCTAATCTGGAACCTTGATCTGATCAGTTCATTTAAAGATAGTGTTTATTAATTAAAAAATCTTAATTAATATACTTATTTTTATTATTTTGTTTTGTTCATGTTTTCCTAGAAATTGGTTTTAAAACTATTTATAGTTGCTAAATAATCCATAGGAAACTACAAACTAGTTCAAAACTATTCATAATTGCTGAATAATCCATAGGAAACTACAAACTAGTTCAAAACTATTCATAGTTGCTGAATAATCCATAGGAAACTACAAACTAGTTCAAAACTATTCATAGTTGCTAAATAATCCATATGAAACTACAAACTAGTTCAAAACTATTCATAGTTGGTGAATAATCCATATCAAACTACAAACTAGTTCAAAACTATTTAAAATTTCTGAATAACCCATATGAAACTACAAACTAGTTCCAAACTATTCATAATTGCTGAATAATCCATAGGAAACTACAAACTAGTTCAAAACTATTCATAGTAGCTAAATAATCAATAGGAAACTACAAACTAGTTCAAAACTATACATAGTTGCTAAATAATCCATAGGAAACTACAAACTAGTTCAAAACTATTCATAGTGGCTAAATAATCCATAGGAAACTACAAACTAGTTCAAAACTATTTAAAGTTTCTGAATAATCCATATGAAACTACAAACTTAAAGTTTCTGAATAATCCATATGAAACTACAAACTGGTTCAAAACTTTTCATAGTTGCTAAATAATCCATAGGAAGCTTCAAACTAGTTCAAAACTATTCATAGTTGCTAAATAATCCATAGGAAACTGCAAACTAGTTCAAAACTATTTAAAGTTTCTGAATAATCCATAGGAAACTACAAAGTAAACAAAGAAAACACAACTTATTTAAAAACTATATAAAGTTTCTTGTTACTTCTAAGGAAACTACAAATTTTCAAAATTATTTAAAGTTTTCTTTTTAATTCAAAGGAAACTACTAATCAGTTCAAAACTTTTCAGCGTTTCTTCTTACTCTAAAGGAAACTAAAAATGAGTTAGAAAACTGCTCAAAGTTTCTGAAGCAAACTGTAAATTAGTTCAAAACTATTCAAAGTTTCCTTTTTACTTCAAACTTCAAAGGAAACGACAAACTAGTTCAAAACTATTCAAAGTGTCTTGTTACTCAAAAGAAAACTATTCAAAGTACTACAAAATAGCTCAATCAAAGTACTACAAAATAGCTCAAAAGTCAAAACTATTTGAATTTCTTGTTTCTCTAAAGAAAACTATTCAAAGTACTTCAAAATAGCTCAAAACTATTTGAATTTCTTGTTTCTCAAAAGAAAACAACAACTTAGTTTCAAACCTATTTTAAGTTTCTGAATACCTCAAAAGAAACTATAATTTATTTCAATATGAATATTTTATAGAGAGAGAAAGAAGGCGTTCAAGGAAATATGGGGAGTTAGTCCGATGCGTATAAATACTAAAAGAACTGTAATTCCTAAACACTCGGAATCAACCGAACCAAACTTTACAAAATCACTCTTAACCGAATCAGAAGACAGATCTGCATCTGGTGCTATTCCTTCTGACAGCTTTCATTCCTCTCCAACATCATCAACTCCATCTGTAAACAATATTAAATCAAAAGCTTCTGTTGCTGCTCCAGCTCCTGCTACGGATGCTGAAACTCCTGGTACTGATGCTGTAACTCCTGCCATGCAAGCTGAGATTCGGAAAGTCAGGTTTCAAAGCGGAGAGAATCAGCACAGACTGTTGACACCAGATTCATGCAAACAGGTGACACATTGTTGATTATACTTTTCTAGCACAGGTCAGGTAGTCAATGTCATAGATGGATCAGTTTTTAGAATTATCAAAATACAAAAATTTTTAAACTAGAAAAATGACAATATCTTCCACATGGTTGATCAGATAAAGGTTTCAAGGGCACTGGCGATTTGCATCTGTACATGGAGAGTCACTTTAAATTACGATTAAGTCCCTTAAAGTTGGATTTGATTTTTAGTGCTGATAGCTTAATTAGTATTATTTTAATATGATTTTATTATTATTTTTATTATTGTCATCGTGGTTACCTGAAACTTAACAGATTTTTTACTGAAACATTTTAGCCAAAATTAACGATAAGAACTTTTTTTACAATGGAGGATCATTCATTAACCATACTATTTACAGGATTGCAGTGCCACTTCCAACCCCGTCTCAGCGCCTTCATTATCAAACCAGTCCTTCGCTTCATTGAAAACTTCGTTCTCATTCTTACAGGTTGGGTTATTTTCATTTATTTGTGATATTTTTTACATTCTGAATTTTTTTCTTGTTAATGATTAACACAATTTCGCTGAAATTTTGTCTCTTTAAAAGTTTAAAATCTATATTTCATGTAGATATTTATTAATTATTTTTCTCGATTAATACTGTAAACTTTGACCAATTGTATTTAATATCAGACCCCTGTTGGAAGTAAAGCGGGTAACGCTGACCGGATTGTTAATAGGCAAGGTGCACATCTGTTGCACCAGAAAGTTCAAGAAAATGAGGATAATACAGGTTTTACTACACCACCCTCCTCTTTACAAATATTCGTTTGTCATTTGAATGATAATTAAATATAAGTTTCAAAACAATTTTTTTCCGAAGCTCCAAAAATTATTTCTATGCCTAAATGTTAAAGTTTCTATAATGCTCCAAACAAATTTTGAGAATTTTTTAAAATTTAACAGGGAGAATTGACGATTTCTTTGAAAGGTGAAATAATTTCTTTTATTTCATCACATTAATTTGCTTCTTAATCAAATTTTCATCTTTTTTTTCATTAAAAATATTCGATATTGGCCAATGCCATCTATTCTAAACTACAAATAGTTTCCCCACACACTCCCTTTAATCCTAATTTAAGAAGATTATCCTAGTTTCAGTACGCCTGGGAGTACCTACTCCAGTAGCGCTCAAGACCCTGTCTGCACTCGTCAAGGAAGAATACGCGCTCCTCTACGCAGAATCATCAGAATCTGAATCTGAAGAAGAATCTGTGGATATTATTAGACAGATTAAATTTTAAAATAACCATCAATTCTAGTACAGTGGTGTCTAATATAAATTGGAAACTGTAAAAACTTTATTAGTTTGAAGGGCACATGCTAAAATGTTTTTAATTTTTTCAAAACTATTGATAATCAAACTAAACAGTCAGCAGAATATATATTTAGAACAAACAATTTTTTTAAAGTTTAAACTTATCAGATTTTACTGGAGCTTTGCCTTTAAAACATAAATATGAACTGAATTTCAGAAAAAAACTTTTTACCTTTTTGATGGTTTTCGTATTCCACTTAGTCTTGTCAACACCATACATCGTAAATGACAACGAGCTTCATAATATGCTCAAATTATATGGCATTTTATTTACATTTGATGGTGTCTAAATAAACAATGTTAGGCATGGATTTAGGAACGACTAAGAAATAAGCATTATACCCCTGATGTTGTAAAAATATACGAGGTTTTATTAAAAATATATCGGTATCAATTTAAACCTTGCCATTTTATGAATGAACTTCAATGATATTTTCGAACGCAGCTGCACGTACCAGTATAATTCTAATTGGTCGTTCATTTTCACAGTATCTGACGGTCAGTTCATGAGTTTTACTAAGCATTCGTAAACACATTTAATTTCTCTGCATTTAAGATACTGACAGAAATGGTTCATGTGCAAGAAAAACCTGTAAATTACGCAAAACTATTGGTCAATTTATGAAATAACATTTCATACTTCGAAATTTTTTTGTACCTTTTGCCCGATTATTTTATTGAATTGAACCTTTTAAATTATTATTTGAAAGTAAATATATGTTTTTATACTATCTCTATTATCTATCAAATGCAAATGTTCCAGATTACTAAATGTTTGAGTAAGCAATAAGCATGGTTACTATGAATCTACGCCGTGCTGCTAACTCCAAGGAGAATAAAGGAGGTGGAGACAGAAAACCTGAACCGCTACTCCCTGATGCAGGTACGGAAAAGATGAGGGGATAAAGGGGGTGCTTCTGGAAACAAATGTCAACTTCATTATGAAAAGTTTTATATATTTATGTTACAAATAAGACTTAATATTCAATGTTTTAGAGGATATTTCTCAGATAAGCAGGACCAGTTTAGATCTTTTCCTTCCTATACTGTCTGCTCAATCCCTCAGCCAACAAATAAATGAAATTAAATCTCTGTTTAAGGTAAGATGTAGTTTTAATTACAATTTCCTGATCTGCAGAAAAATTTCAGATAAATATGAGTGCTTAAAAAAATTGTTTTTGTTTTTTGATTAAAATAATCCCACTCATCAGCACTGCGGACTTCTTCCTACGATACGAATATCAATTACGCCTAAGGTCGCCTTGTCAATCTTCCTATATTTGGTTTTAACAATTTAAGGTGTAAATCACCGGGTGAGATGATTGCGGTAACCTAAGTTATCCTTCTAAAAAAGCACTATTCTTTACTGTATTTTCTCTAAAAAAAAATCTACCTTTCGTGGAATTTTTCTATTTTGTTTTAGGAGCCATTGGTTGAGAATTATCAAATTCTATCAATAGTTCTTGTTCAATGGATGCTCAACACTGCTCACACCAGTCCTCTCAGGCGTGCAATCACAGGTAGGGTCAGCTGGATAAATAAAGGGTCAGCTGGATAAATAGTTTAAATGCCAGATGGATAAAAAGTTAAAGGTTGAGCTGGATAAATAGTTAAAGGTTGAGCTGGATAGAAAGTTAAAGGTTCAGCTGGATAAATAGTTAAAGGGTCAGTTGAATAAATAGTTAAAGGTTGAGCTGGATAAATATATAAAAGGGTCAGCTTGATAAAAAGTTGAAGGCTGAGCTGGATAAATAGTGTACGGGTTAGCGGGATAAATAGTTAAAGGGTCAGCTTGATAAAAAGTTGAAGGTTGAGCTGGATAAATAGTTTACGGGTTAGCGGGATAAATAGTTAAAGGGTCAGCTTGATAAAAAGTTGAAGGTTGAGCTGGATAAATAGTTTACGGGTTAGCGGGATAAATAGTTAAAGGGTCAGTTGGATGAATAGTTAAAGGGTCAGCTGGATAAATAGTTGGTCAGCTGGATAAATAGTTAAAGGTTGAGCTGGATAATGGTTAAGCTGGATAAATTGTTAAATGGTCAGCTGGATACATAGTAAAAAGGGTCAGCTGGATAAAAAGTTAAAGGTTGAGCTGGATAAACATTTACAGGGCCAGCTGGATAAATAGTTTAAGGGTCAGTTGGATAAATAAATGAAGAGTCAGCTGGCTAAATAATTAAAGGTTGAGCTGGATAAATAGTTAAAAGGTCAGCTGGATAAATAGTTTAAATGCCAGTTGGATAAAAAGTTGAAGGTTGAGCTGGATAAAAAGTTAAAGGTTGAGCTGGATAAAAAGTTAAAGGGTCAGCTGGATAAATAGTTAAAGGGTCAGTTGAATAAATATTAAATGTTGAGCTGGATAAATATATAAAGGGTCAGCTTGATAAAAAGTTGAAGGTTGAGCTGGATAAATAGTTTACGGGTTAGCGGGATAAATAGTTAAAGGGTCAGTTGGATGAATAGTTAAAGGGTTAGCTGGATAAATAGTTATAGGTTGAGCTGGATAAATAGTTAAAGGTTGAGCTGCTGGATAAATAATTAAAGGTTGAGCTGGATAAATAATTAAAGGTTGAGCTGGATAAATATTTAAAGGGCCAGCTGGATAAATAGTTAAAGGGTTAAGCTGGATAAATTGTTAAATGGTCAGCTGGATACATAGTAAAAAGGGTCAGCTGGATAAAAAGTTAAAGGTTGAGCTGGATAAACATTTAAAGGGCCAGCTGGATAAATAGTTTAAGTGCCAGCTGGATAAATAGTTAAAGAGTCAGCTGGAAAGATAGTTAAAGGTTGAGCTGGATAAATAGTTAAAGGTTGAGCTGGATAAATAGTTAAAGTGCCAGCTGGATAAATAGTTAAAGGGTTAGTTGGATAAATAGTTAAAGAGTCAGCTGGAAAGATAGTTAAAGGTTGAGCTGGATAAATAGTTAAAGGGTTAGCTGGATAAATAGTTATAGGTTGAGCTGGATAAATAGTGAAAGGTTGAGCTGGATAAATAGTTAAAGGGTCAGTTGGATAAAAAGTTAAAGGTTGAGCTGGATAAATATTTGAAGGGCCAGCTGGATAAATAGTTAAAGGGTCAGTTGGATAAATAGTTAAAGAGTCAGCTGGAAAGATAGTTAAAGGTTGAGCTGGATAAATAGTTAAAGGTTGAGCTGGATAAATAGTTAAAGTGCCAACTGGATAAATAGTTAAAGGGTCAGTTGGATAAATAGTTAAAGAGTCAGCTGGAAAGATAGTTAAAGGTTGAGCTGGATAAATAGTTAAAGGGTTAGCTGGATAAATAGTTAAAGGTTGAGCTGGATAAATAGTTAAAGGTTGAGCTGGATAAATAGTTAAAGGTTGAGCTGGATAAATAGTTAAAGGGTCAGTTGGATAAAAAGTTAAAGGTTGAGCTGGATAAATATTTAAAGGGCCAGCTGGATAAATAGTTAAAGGGTCAGTTGGATAAATAGTTAAAGAGTCAGCTGGAAAGATAGTTAAAGGTTGAGCTGGAAAGATAGTTAAAGGTTGAGCTGGATAAATATTTAAAGGGTCAAAATCTAATGATTAAAATTTTTTATTAAGAAATTTGTCTGAAAGGCGCCAATCTTGTTTTACTTGGTTCTTTATTCTAATCCTTTTCTATATTATTTATCATTATTTTTTTTATTAAAAAAGTAAAAGACAAAAAATTACAAAAACATTTGCATGGCCCCGTATATATCTCTGATACTAGTAAGTGCAGGTTGTTTAAACAATGTGAAGGATGTAGAACTGGAGAACTTAGTCGTAGAACAGCTCACATTAAGAATTAGGTAAAACACTTTTTTGTCATAAGAAAATGATTGAAAAATATTGAATAATCAGTAAATTGTACTCTTAACCCTTCTGCAAGCGCTCGACTGCAATATTCAATTAAAAGTTTGTCCAACCAAAATTGTTTTTTTATTAAAGTTAATTTAATTATGATTTTAAAACAGTGATTGATTTTAAAGAACTTTTAATTAACCCTATCCCTGTCCCCCCCCAGCAGGAATAGGGTTAAGGCATGCCATCATAGAATCTTAATTTTACACTTCATAACCATTGCCTAATTTGTACTGCTGGAGATATCAGTGGTTTTCGCTTTAAAAATTGAATTAGAAAACTTTTCTACCTGATGCAAATATAGATAGTATTTTAAGGCGAAGAAAAATTTATCTTAATGAATTAATGGTTTATCTGTTTAGACAGGATTGTTTGGTAGAAGATGATTCTGAAAGGTTGCTGAGTGTGAAGAGTATTGCCAAATGCCTGGAAAATTTCAGGTTTAGATTCGAAACATATTCTTGTTTTAGGGAAGAAGAAAACTGCGAGGAACAACATGGACAATAAATAAATAATTAATCCATTAATGATTTATCCTTAATCCATTAATGTTTTATCATTATTCCATTAATGATTTATCATTAATTAATCCAATAATGATTTATCATTAATTAATCCATTAATGATTTATTATTAATTAATCCACTAATGATTTATCATTAATTAATCCATTAATTATTTATCATTAATCCAATAATGATTAGCAGGGTTGGCTTAAAAAACCCAAACCATAAAAACACCCCCCCCCAAAAAAAAAAAAACCACCCAGAAAAAAAAAACCACCTATAATTGGGCTTTATGAGTTTTATTGTTTTTTTTTAGAATTTTCTAATTATTGCCCTTTCTTCACTCTTAAAATGATAAAGTCATCAAGGATAAGGTCTATTATATCTGTTCGGTTCCATAGTAATAAACCTATCGTGTAAGAATTCCCATTATTACACGTTTCAGGAGGAAAATTTTTAATATTTTTCGCTTCCTAGCGTTTAAGAATGCTTATTCTTAAGACAGTAGGTGTAGAATTTTCATTCTTCAAACCTCAGACTGTGTAAGATTGGAAATTATTACACGGTCAGAGCGTGAAAGAATGTATATTCTTACACGTTACGAGCATTAAAGAATGGAAATTATTACACTAGTTGAAGAATAATCAATCTTACACGCTCCTTATATTAATCTTTTCAACATAGATCAATATTGATATTAACTTAAATATTTTGTACGAACAACATGCACACTCACCTTTTCTTTTATATTAGTACATGCAAACTTACCTTTTTATACTTTATAAGATCATGCTTACTTGCCTTTTTTTATATTAAAACATGTAAACTTACCTTTTCATGCTCACTTACCTTTTTATTTTTAGAAGTATTGATATACTTAATTCAGAAATTTCCATTCAAATCTTGACCTAGATCTGGAGGGGGAACCCTCCCCCCCTCTTGCTCCCCCTGTGTTTAATTAACATATCTCATTAAGAATGATTCAGAGATTTCTGACCTAACCTTAAAAAAGTTATGGACAATGCTTTAAGCCTTATATTAGGGATGTTCATCAAACTGTCTGAGTCTCAAAGCATACTGTCCGACTGCCTACTTTATTTAAACAATTTTTTAGTTTTTTCTTTATTGCAAATCAAGTTTTGTAAGATTTTGAAAATCTCTGCATATTTGTAATAGAACGGTCAGAGCTTTTCTAAAATGGAAAGGTCGTCATGTTTTTCACAATTTCAATCAACTGCTTTTTCAGTTTATAAATGGATACTGTACAAAAAGAGCTTTTCCGAAATTCCACATTCATTTGCAATATTTAGACAAATAGACAAAATTAAGAGGTTATGGGGGTCGATTTGCTCCCCACCCTACAGCTTAAACTGGTTTTGAAGTACCTCAGCAGTCACCATATCTCGCATAGCTTGAATGGTAATCAGAAACATTGACTGTTAGTTTATGAAAACAAGTCATTGAAATGTTAGTGTCACAAACTTTATGTGGGGTCCTAGCACTCCATAGCATTGAAAATAAACCAATAAATCTTGATTCATGAAAGACAAAGATCTTCATCATTTCATTTCTTGAACTGGTTCTTGCTAGATAACCTCCTCTCTCCTCTTTTTGGAAGATTTAGGATCTTATATCCAGCAAATGATTTCTTCTGTAAATGATTTCACGCTTCTGTTCAGTAGACAACCCACTAGTTTTCTCTACCTCTTCTCCATCTAAAAAAACTCGGGGCATAATCGACATGCTAAATCTTAGTAAACTAACAAACTAACTATAGAAACAATCACACCACATGCATCATTTACAAATAAAGAACCAATTTTTACTTATATAAGGGTTTTTAACATTATACCATTGTAACATTGGAAAAATAAAAAAGTAATAGTCAGGACATAAATATAATTTTTTAATATAGGCTCTTTAGATTATAAACTTAGACGTTATAAAAAAGCTTGTTAAGCTTGAAGATATAAAACTTTAGGCCAGAAAAATACATTTAACGTAAAACTTTAGTTAAATTCTCAGATAAAATCTTATATATAATTTTGAATAAATGTTCATGTATATAATAGTAGGAACAAGTGTAGCGTTAGATGAGAAGATCTTCATGTGCTTCTTTAGATCACGATTTCTGGATTCAACCTGAACATCAAGATTTAAGAAAAGATCCGTAGATCTTACAATACATTGAAAGATTTTGTTCATCAAATTGTTACATATTTTGGGAATTTTAATGACATAATTTTTAAAGATTAAATTAAATTATCACAAGGCTTTTGAATAAAAATTACTTGCCGTATGGGAAGCCTCATCAATTTTGATTTCTCTGCAGATGGAGCTGGCAATGTTTTAGAACAATTTAAACCTGAAAATAAAATTTTGACCAAAAACGTTTATTGTGTATTGAATGTGCTGATATGATACAAAGATTCACCATTGAGGTCAGAAATCAATGAACAGCGCGCTTCTGAAATTGTGCTGCATGAATAACAGCATGTAAAAAAATTATTATTATTTAGACAGCTAAATATTCTCTTGATACTAATTTCGTTTTAACTCACAGATTCCAATTCCTTAAGGACACACATATGATGTAGACTAGACAATATGGAAATTGCAAAAAAAAATTAACCTTGATTTAACTAGGTGGAGGGTATTTGTGAAGAGGATGTGTCACCTGTAGAGAAGGTTGAGCTCACTGACCAGGTTGTTGAGGTTTTCAGACTCCTTGTTGCTGTTTGTAAAGGTAACTTTCAAATTTGGACCAATTATGTGGATTTTTAGAAAATAATGGCTTGAAATGTCATTTGCATTGTCCAATTAACTACAGGTCTTTTCTGACATAAAATCTTTATCTAAAGAAATATCTTTTGCCCCGCAGTTTTTACTGTTGCAGAAAACTAAGTGGCGTAGAAGATTCAATTATTTAATTTAAATTCTTAACTTAACTTGATATTCACCATTGATATTTATATTAGATCGTTTGAGCGGAGTATCGAAAGAGGTAAGGTCTGGCTTGACGGAGTTCTCCGAGAGGGTTATTGAGCACCCGTCACTACCTCTGGATATCCGGAGCAATGCCGGGATCATCCTCGTCTCCTCCCTCTCCTCACAGGAGATCAGAGTTCTCCTGGAGAAGGAGAAGGGGAAGGAGGACGTAGACTGTTTCGCTGGCTCTAGGTATATTCTAGTCCGTGCTGATTGCTGTTTTCTATTTTTCGATTCCACAGGGGTATTTTTTTCTTGAAAAATCATCCCCTTCCCCCCTTTTGAAAATCATTTTTTCCCCCAGAAGTTAGGTAATATTTGGATTTATTCTGTAATTGTCTATAAAATTGAAAAAAGGTTAAGGAAATATTAGAATTATTGATTTTTGCTCTGCGATCATTTCCTTACAAAATAAATTATATTGAAAAAAGGAAAATGGAAGAATTGAAGGGGTAACAGAGATATATCCTCCTAAATTGTTTTCTTCAGGTTAAGTTTAGCTCACGGAGTTCTTGCTTGTGCGAAGCCGAGTTTGTTGGCCGAAGACCAGAACAGGGAATGTTTATTTAATCTTCTTCTTAGAATATATCTTGAAATCTCGTCTACAGTTCAGACCACCAGCCTAGGTAAAAGTTTCTAAAGGAAATTATTGTTATTTTTCTCTTACGAAAAGAGATAAATTCTGACACTTACTTTCTTTTTTCTTCTTTAAAAATCCGCCAGTCATTTTATAGAGAAACTGCAATTGAAAAAAACATATCTCTCATCAGATCTATCAATGGTTTCGCTGTGAATTAGTACAGCTTCAGTCTTTGCTTTCCTAGTCCCCAGGATCCTTTCTTTTAAATGCGAATCCAGATCCCTGAGAAAATGTATCCGGATTCAGAGTCATTCTCCGAATGAGATTTTAAGATTCGCTAGTAACCATACTTGACACCCTGAACAAATTTTAATTTTGTTAAATTAAACGGATCATAATCAAATTGAAAAGAAAACTCGAATAATTTAGAAAAAAGTATCCTCTTAAAGAAGCATTGCTTAAGTACTTATTGCCAACATATTTCAGTAATGGGATACAGCAGAGGTCTGCTAAATTGGTCAGCTAATTTTCTACAGGCATGCAGGTATATAATGAAGGGATATTTATCAAAAATAGATATTTTTAAAGCATTATTTTTAGTTCCCACTTTATCAGCAATCTACCTCTTTTATTACTATTGAAGTTGAAATTCTGCCAAAGTGAAACTAATAATTTACCAATTTTAAATACGTTTCTAAATAAATATAATTCGATGATTAAATACACATACCTCACACACTCCACTGGATTTATTGGAATTGCTTGCAGAGTCGTCTTAAGGGAGAGACAGATGAGATGGTTCGGCAGTATATTCTTCTGACTTCATATATTCAAATATTTAGAATGGAATTGGTGAAGGATTTTCAGGGGTTAGAAGCAACCCTAGAGTTCTCTTGGTCACACCTTGAGCACTCTATAGACTCCGTTCGACATAATACTAAGGTACAGGTCTACATAGATATTGGATAAGAATGAGGCTAACTTAGAACTCTTAAGATATCATGATTTAATTGTTTACTTTGCTCTTTCATTGACCATGAGTTCAATGCATTATTGTCAGAAGGTCAGGGTACATGTGGGTAAATTTTTTATAGTGATAATAATATGATAAATTGAATTCTAAATACTAAATTGTATGACCATTACATTTTATTTCAGCTGCTTTAAATTATAATTTTGTATTTTTTAGGAGTTCTTAAACAATATCATCTGTGCTTGTAAACTATTAGGCAGGGAAACCTAACAAATGAAATTCATAATAAAGTAAGATAATAAATCTAAAAGAATTACCAAAGCCTTCAATGATGCAACTTTGATTGAATGAAACAAATTTAGATCGTTTCTAAAAAGTTGAATTATTCTCTCCCCGCGTAGTTCTTAACACAAAGCCTTTCTCTCGTCATTTCTGCAACCTTTTCATATTACATATGTAAAGTTAAATCCTTTTAAAAGTTTTCGTTCGCCTTTGGAGTGGAAACTTAAAGTTGTTTAGGTTTATTCTATCTACTTTAAAAAGTTCCCAGCTCAGGCTATTTTTTAAACCATGAATAAAGTTTTCTCTGATGATAGGAGGACCTGGAGAAGCAATGCTTAATTTGTTCTTGAAGCAAACCCTCTCTCTTCCAGCTCATAAGAAAGCTAGATTCTCCAGTCTGTCATGTCTTATCAGGTATCTAGAGTAGTTCTTTCATGTTTTATCAGGTAACATAATTGATTTTCTCTCTGTCTTATCAGGTAACTGAGTAATTTTTCCCTGCACTATAAGGTACCTAGAGTAGTTATCTCCTGTCTTATTGGGTATCTAGAGTAGTTCTCGTCTGTCTTATGAGGTAACTAGAATAGTTCTCTCCTGTCTTATTAGGTATTTAGAGTAGTTCTCGTCTGTCCTATGAGGTAACTAGAGTAGTTCTCTCATGTCTTATTAGGTATTTAGAGTAGTTTTCTGATTTAGTTTTATTGATTATTTGCTAAAAAGGATTAAATTTTCTTTAAAATTTTAATTGAATTTAGGTCTGGAAGCCTGGATAAAATACTAGAGATAAACCCTAGGTTTAGAGAGGAGATACTTGAACTAGTTGAAGAATACGCGCTAGGTATTTTCCCTTTTTTCTTGNGGAAAATGAAAGGGGGTAAAGGGATGTTAAGGAACATACAGTGTATAATCTTTTGATAAATTGATTTTCTTTTCTTGTCTCCAAATTTCCAATCTAAAGCTATGCACCATTGCACGATCCAATATGATGTCGGATACCCTGTAAAGTATATTGTAAGTTTAATTGAGACTATCCTGTTTATAGTTGTTTAGTTTGACCAATCTTGAAATAAAACCTTTTCATATGTTTGCTACTAAGTAAAACCAATCTTAGAATGAGACGTGTTTGCATGTTTGTAGTAGAGTATGATGAGGGGATGAAGGCCAGCCACAGCAATTTCTCGTCCGATTCTCATGTTCCTCATTATCGTTGGAGCCATCTTGTTACTGGTTTTCTTCCCCTCGTTTGAGAAATCCTGAACATACCTTTTTATGTTTAATTTAGTATATTCACNTCACATCAGCAGCAGCAGTTTGAAAACAAAACAAAAAAATTGTTTGTTCAGAAAGGTATATTAACTTCAGGTCTAATTTGATTTGGTTTTTATTGTTTAGTTGGACCAATCACTGACCTGTATGAGAACATTATAAAAGCTGATTACAGGCAGGGTTTTAAAAATTAAAAACTGAAATAAATATACGCGTTTCTCTAGATATGAAATTTCTAAAGAGAAACGACAAAATTGTTCAAAATTAATATTTCAAGTATAATCATAATTTATAGATCCAGTTAATTTAAGTTATTTCTATTACATAAAATCTGATCGTTTTGATGCCTGGGTACTGGTTAGGACGGACGAGGCTGGAGTAGAAAACTGGTTTAAAGGGACAGTACGTCCTCTTCTAGCTCAGCTACAGACCTCGGACAACCTCGGTGCCTCGCAACTCTCACGGTACAGTGGTCGCTTCAACCATGTGGAACTTTTTTAATGATCTATAATAAAAATAAACATAATTCTTTTTTTGTTTATCCTGTAATTTTAAATGTGTTTTTTTGGGGGGGGGGATCAATGCTTTAAATAACATTTGTTTATTTAGAAATTTGTTAAATAAATGCGGAAAGCAGAATACTGGTCTGGTTCGGCTGATATTCAAGGAGGAGGAGGGATTGCAGGGGAAACTAGGATTATACTGTCTCAGGGATAGGATATATATATATGCACAATGTACATACATACAATATATATATGCACAATGTACATGCATACAATATATATGTACAATGTTTATACATACAAACCAAGGAACGGATCCGAGATCCGCAAAATATCAACCAAAAACTGTTAAAAAACGCACACAGTTTTTGCTCTTAAAACATATCTAAAAAGAGAGCTTATTAAAACACATATCTAAAAAGAGAGCTTATTAAGTATTTCCTTAGACTTTGAATCTTTTATATACATAAAAAGTTGTAATCTTTGTTTGGGTGTCTGTCTGTCTGTTTGTTTGTTTTGCCTCAAAATTTGATTTGTGTACTTGGGAGACCTAACGGTTCGGCTTTAAACGGTAAATGGCGGGAGTAAATTTTAGTAACCTGGGTAGCGCTGGGTTCCCAAGCTAGTGTTTCATACAGTTTAAGCATGAGAAATAAGCGAAAAAAAGAAGAAAATTATTTGAAAATTCTCCTTTTGATAAAAAGCAGTAAATTAGTACTGGATCCGGATCCCAATCAAAATGAAATGGATTCTAAGCACTGATACAAACCTTTAAAACATTTTTAAAACATCAAATTGGATTTTGCTGAAATACTCGACTCTAAGACTATTTGATAAGTTTTTGCGTTAAAGCTTGGGAAATTCAAATATACTGAACGAGTTATAGCATGTTTTTTTTGTTATGTTTTTTAACGCGAAATCATTTAAAAATAATTATGAAAAGCAAATGTAAAGTCTCATTACTTTCAAATCAATTAGTTTTCTATATTTTAAATGTTTTTTATCCAAGATTCATTGAATATTTGATTTTTATACATTTTGAAATAGCTATAATGTATGTGTAATGTATATTGTTATATTCCTAAAGGCTTGGCCGTCAGTTGGGAAATCCATGGAACTATTTAGAACACAGGTAAATGTATCAACACATTTGATAAACCTTTAGAAATGGATAAAAGAGAGAAAATTCTAACATTCAAAATAATACTGGCTATAAGAGAACTTGGATCCTGATTCGGAAAATTCCGGATACCGATTTTTGATTTCTGATATCTGATTCAGGTTTATGATTTCGGATTCTGATATTGGATTCAGGATTCTGATTTCTGATTTCTAATTCTGATTTAGGATTCCAGAATCTGATTTCCGAAACCGGATTCTGATTTCTGATTCAGAATTCCCAGGATTTTTTTGTCAATAGGAAGTTGATTGAACGAAGCCTTGAAAGCTCTGATGAAGAGGAACGACTCCAGGTAAAGATGAGCCGTAACAATAGATTTAAGTTTAAGAGATAGGTGACACTTTCATTATTCATCTTCTGTCAGCACCAAAGGCTTGAATTGCACTTCTGAATTTACACTCAGCTCAAAACTGGGTTGATTTATTTGAACTTAAATAGACTGGAGCTCATGGCTGAATTCTAAGGATTAAAGTTAAACGCGATTATTAGAATTATTATCATTGTATCTTTTTGTTTCGTTACAATTTATTATTTTTGTTTGAATTAATTTTGGCTGTCTTTCTAGGCACTCTCTTTGCTGGTTGAATCGCTTAGTTCTGTTGAGAGATTTCATATCTTTGAGCTCAATACAATATTCAAATTTACAGGGATACAATTTTGTTTTGAGATAATTCATACTTTTAGTTTGATGCAATACCCGGATTTATAGTATATAAAATTTTGTTTTGAGATATTAGTAAACAGAAACGTAATAAATTCTCATTTTATTATTTTTTGATCTATTTTTGTCTAAATTTCACATCACATCAGCAGCAGCAGTTTGAAAACAAAACAAAAAAATTGTTTGTTCAGAAAGAAATCTAAGCTTACCTGGAGCTTCTAGCAGGTAATTTATTTTTATAAGATTTATTTAAAACTTACAATTACAATATCTTTTTGAAAGGTTAAGATTGGTTCAACATGTTACCTCTTAAAGGGATGTTAAGGAAAATGAAAGGGGGTAAAGGGATGTTAAGGAAAAATGAAAGGGGGTAAAGGCTGATCTAAACGCTTCAGAAGTTGATCGCGACCCCTCCCCTTTATGAGTTCTATCTGATGTTCTTGTCTCGAGAAATTGATATAAAACTGTGTCAACGTTATACCAGAACTTGTATATATAAGATATGATATATGAATCAAAGTTTTTAACAGTTCATATTCAGCAAATTCATCTGGCACGTGATACAGACGTATCAGTCATGTTATCAATTATATCTATTTACATGCATAAGTAATATATTCAAATTATAATAAGAGCGTACCTAAGCGGTTTAGGCTCCCCTGGGTTATGGTGATTTTAAGATTGGTTGCGTATTTGCTGATAATGATCTGTCTAAAACTTTGATTCATATACCATATTCGAGACAAGAACATCAGTTAGAACTCATCTAGGTCATCAACTCCTGAAGGGAAAAGTTTTCAGCATATTTCCCTCTTTTATTTTTCCTCAACAGTCCCTTGAATACTAATAAAAATGAAACCCTCTAAAAAACTTATTGCTTCAGACAGGTCTTACTGGCAAATCTAAAGAAGCTTCTTACCAGACTCAGGGACGGAGCAGCTGCCTGCCTGAAGAAGCTCACTCAACCTAGGTATTGCAGCTGCATTAGACAAGAGATTTTCGAGGTTCTGATTTAACTTTTTTCAATATTCTGTAACTGAAATTTAGGTGAAAATTCTGCATTTTGTACTGCAGTGATATAAACTTAATTTTTCTTTGTCATGTCTGTGCTTTTGTTCAGAACTTTTAAGCCTAAATTATTTTACGTAGGCTTGTCACTGAGCATCCAGAATTGGAGAAAACTGTAGAAGCATATTCTCACTTTGTTCCAAATCTTGTCAGGAACAATAATAATAATCTATATAAACTTTGCTTGTCTTTCTGTTTGTTTGTATCCAATAAACGTCAAGACTGCTCAAGCGATTGGGCCCAAGTTTTGTATGGGACCTCACATGACGGATTATAGATGAGAAAATTTCAAAAATTTACCTCCAACAAAATTTTATTTTCATTTTAAATTTTAAAAATCCACAACATTTTTTTAAAAAATCCGCTAATTATTTTTGTTTCTGTTTTACAATAAATACAAAGAGAAAATGTTCACAATTGAAATAGAAGATGCGTGCAAAGCACCCTAAAAGTTTAGCAAGTAACATATTTCTAAAGGAAAGTGTCGCTATCAATTAAAAAGTTTTACTTTTAAGCCATGGATAATATTAGAGAATAATTTCTATCAAATGTTTCTAAAAAGCGAATTTAATCACAAGTGTCCATATTCGCTTTTCAGAAACATTGGATAGAAATGAAAGCTGAAAACATGTTAATAAATCTTTAATATCAAATATTTACATATATGGAGAATATATTAGTTTTTAACTTTTTTCATCGTTATGCATCAAGATCTGAAATTTATTAATGGATTTGCCAGAATGCTGTTCCGAAATTTGTTCCCCGGTGCCAACTTTGCTCGGAGAGGGACTGTTCTTCAGATTCTAACAGAGGTACAACATTCACTCCTTCTCCCTTCTTATACAAAACAGAAACCACCGTGATTTTATATATAGTTCAGGGGCCGACTAAACCATTATCTATAAATTTAACAAAAAGCAGTAAATTCCTTATTCTTATTTCTTCAAAAAATATAATTTTACAAACTCCAGTTCTCCCACTTTCTATCTGTAAACTTTAGTTCTCCTACTTTCTTTCTGTAAACTCCAGTTCTCCTACTTTCTATCTGTAAACTCCAGTTCTCCGACTTTCTATCTGTAAACTACAGTTCTCCTACTTTCTATCTGTAAACTCCAGTTCTCCTACTTTCTATCTGTAAACTCCAGTTCTCCTACTTTCTATCTGTA